CCTCCCCGGCTGCTCAGCGCCCAAGTGTCCTTGGGGCCGGCGGATGCCCCGGGATGGGGGAAGGATATTACCCCTTTTCTTTCGAGGCGTCCTTCCCCTCCCCGGGGACAAGCCCTGAGCTCGACTGGACTTGAGCCGGGCTTTGCCTTGGCTCACTCAGCTCATTAAAAAATTGGAGGGAGGGGGGTGAAGCCCGGCCAGCATCCAGCAGGAAAATGCGAAACTGTGATTGACGCCCGGGAGCGGAGCGGAGCTCAGAGTTTGGTCAGCACTTAGGGGAAACGATTTCTGTTGTCACCTTTCTCCATGTCGGGGTGCGGCCGTGCCCCAGGTTTTTGGCTTTCTGAATGTGCCTGGTGGGAAGTGGGTCCTGCAGACGTCTATAATTTGCACACAGCGGCGGTAACACTAAAGTTGATTTTATACGAGTCATCAGAGTTTGCAAAGTGAGTTTTATTTTTTGTATTCCTTTATCTTTACTTAAAGGTGAATGTGTATTCCTCTGGGAGGAATAGGAAGAAAACAAAACAAAATGAAAAAAAAAAAAGGGGAATGTTAATAATGTTAAACAGAATACTTCCTCCCTTATTAATATATATAACCCTGATGTATTTATGCATATTGTAAGCTTACTTTAAAAAGCTTTGACCTCTCTTCTGTTGCATGCCGTCCCCGGGCAGCCTTTTATTGTACATGCATGCCTCTAGTCCTGGTTTTTCTGTACAAAGTTAGTGCACAAAGAACTATTTTTGCCTAGTTAATGTTGCCGAGCAATGCATATTTTTTAAATTTTTTTTTTTTTTTTTTTCCTGGTCATATATGGAAATCGCATGTTTGTTACATGTAAAAGCTTCCCGATATAAAGAAATACTAATGTTTGGAGATGCCGGTCTTTGCAAGTGTACAGTTTTCCGATGTTGTTCCCAGTGAAACACCCCCGTGGTGCCGACTCGCGCCGGTGTATTTATTACTCGTTTCCTCCCGCGGAACCGGGCGTCGCGGCTCCATTTCGTATCAGCGTGGCGTTGGGAGCGAAGGGAGATGATTAATACAAGGTTTTGTAACACCGGGGTGTGGCGCCTCCTTATTTACCGTCCTGTTGGCAGCTGGCCTCCTGCTTTTAAAAAAAAGAAATAGAGCCAAATAAAGAAATAAAGTCAAATAAATGGCCAGGGAGGGGAGCCGCGTAGTTCTGCGGGCGGAGGGTTGTTATCTTTCTATAAAACCTGTGCCAGGGCTTACGAATCCCCGGCGTCCCCCGCATCTCTGTCCCTTCGGGGACATCTGGTCGGATGACGGGATTTTTTCCTTTGGAATCGGCAGGAATTTGGGGCTGGAGCAGCTCGGAGGCTGCAGCTGAGGCCGCGGATGCAGGCGGAGGAGCCGGCTTGGCCGAGAGCCTCAGCGGGTGCGTGGAGACCCTTGGGTCGGGTTTTAAGGCCGGGCTGA